AAAGAACCCTGATCAAAAAAGAGGCCACACTAGCGTCATGGTCAGACCTGGATCAGTTGGTGCGACGAGCTATCTTACTCGAGGAGGCGCTGGCTACCGATGATAGAAGCCAACGAGTTCGATCCCAGAGCGACCCGCGCGAGCGCTCGGACGCTCGGCGGGGAAGGCGCTCCCCTGAGCGGAAATCGTATCGCAACCGGTACGCGGAGCGCGAAGGAAAAAGGGAGGTGTATTCCACCGACCGCGACAGAGGAAGAGAAAAACGAAGGGGCGGGAGAAAGCAGGAAGCATCCTCGGGCCACGAACCGCAAGAAAGCAAAAAGTGGTGCGACTGGCACCAAATGGCTACCCATGACACCATCGAGTGCAGGGAGTTCAAAGCCAGCTTGAAATACTTGGCCCCCGGGGACCTACGTAGCCGCCTCGAAACACGACGTCCTCACCGGGACCATTCCCAAGAAATGAGGGAAGACTCCCATAGTCCTGAAGCGGACAAAACAAGAAGGACTCGTAAAGAGAGGTCCAGGTCGCCCACGAGGAACAAAATCATTTCACCCCAAAGACAGTCTCCCACCTACCGCCCCCCACGTGGAGATGATGAGGGCATGGAAATCATCACCATAGCAGGAGGAAGGAAACGCCCCAGACATGAGGCAGACCGCCTCAGCCAATGCCTCAACGTCCAACGTCGGGTTCCCACCGACGTCACATTCCAACCGTCAGAGTTAGCTAAGGAGGAGAACTCGGAGGACCCCTTAGTTATCTCATTCCGAACCGACAAGTTCAAAGTCACCCGAGCCCTAGTGGACAACGGAAGCTCCGCGGATATTCTTTTCTACTCGGCACTCAGGGGCATGAAGAAGAGCGTCCAAGACCTCAACCCCTCCAACACCAGCCTGGTGGGGTTCTCGGGAACAAAGGTCCGCGTCCTCGGATCTATCACCCTCAAGGTTACCATAGGAGAAGGCGGGATAACTAAAACCAAGCAGGTGGAATTCCACGTAGCGGATTGCCCTTCCGCGTACAATGCGATTCTTGGACGCGGTTTCCTAGCTTCATTTGAAGCGGTCGCTTCCACCTGCCACCAAATGCTGAAGTTCCCAAGCGGGGGGCAGACAGGGCGCGTCCGAGGTAACGCGAAGGAAGCAAAGGAGTGCTACCAAGCAACTATTGAGCATCTAGAGGTCGACCTCGTTGACGCAAGAGGGGACGTTCCTCGACCTGAGGCAGTCGAAGGAGATATATCGGTCGCCCTAAATGAAGAGATACCAAACAAGACAGTTCGTATTTCGGCCCACCTGGCCGCCGAAGAGGCCCAAAGGCTGCTCACGCTCCTCAGAGAGTACCAAGACCTCTTCGCGTGGGGTCCGGAGGACATGCCCGGCGTCCCACGCGGGATCTCCGAGCACCACCTCTCAATCAAAGCCAAAGCACGACCGATACAGCAACGGAGAAGACACCTATCGGTAGAAAAGCAGGTAGCTCTCGAGGAAGAAGTACGAAGATTGCTCAAGGCAGGGTTTGTCAGAGAGGTAAAATACCCCACATGGCTTTCAAACCCGGTCTTCGTACGAAAGGTGGGGGGAGCTTGGCGAATGTGCATCGACTTCACTAGCCTTAACGCAGCGTGTCCCAAGGACGCGTACCCCCTGCCCCGCATCGACCAACTGATTGATGGAACCGCTAACCATGAAGCGCTTAGTTTCTTAGACATGTTCTCAGGGTACCATCAAATCAGGATGGCGGAGGGCGACCAGGAAGCAACCGCCTTCATGACACCTATGGGCAATTTCTGCTATGTGGTTATGCCCTTTGGACTCAAGAATGCTGGGGCAACCTACCAGCGGATGGTCAATGCGGTCTTCAAAGAACAAATGGGAAGAAACGTGGAGGCTTATGTCGACGACGTCCTAGTCAAGAGCAAGAAAGCCAGCGACCACCTTTCTGACCTACGAGAGACCTTCGAAACTCTAAGGCAGAAAAATCTGAGGCTCAATCCCCTCAAGTGCGTCTTCGGCGCCGAAGCGGGTAAGTTCCTCGACTTCATGATCACGAAGAGAGGGATCGAAGCCAATCCAAAGCAAATCGAAGCAATTCGCAACCTGAAGCCCCCAAAGACGATCAAGGAGATCCAGGCTTTCAATGGAAAAATGGCCGCACTAGGGAGGTTCATCCCGCGGTCTGCAGACAAGTGCGCCCCCTTCTTCCAAATGCTGAAGAAGTCGGCGTCAAGACTTCAATGGGGCACCGAATGCGACAAAGCCTTCAATCTACTGACAAACCAGCTTAGTTCCCCGCCAATCTTGAGCGCCCCCGTTGACGGAGAGCGGCTTTACCTCTACCTCGCTGTGTCAGATCAAGCCGTGAGTTCAGCCCTGGTGCGAAGAGCGCAAGACGGCTCAGATCAGCCGGTCTACTACGTAAGCAAAGCCCTTTTGCCTGCCGAAACAAGATACATGCCAATCGAGAAGGCGGTCCTCGCCATTGCCTCAGCGGCCAGGAAGCTAAGACCATATTTCCAAGGGCATCCAATCACGGTGTTAACCAACCTACCTCTCAAAAGTGTCATGCGGGGCATGGATGCCTCAGGGAGATTGACAAAATGGGCGGTCGAACTCAGTGAATACGACATCGAATATGCCCCAAGACCGGCCATCAAGGGTCAAATCTTGGCAGATTTTATCGCCGAAGGGTTCTCGCTCATCACCCCTCCCTCTGAGGAGCAAAGCCAGATCTGGCGCCTACACGTTGATGGGGCAGCCGGAAGAACCGCCTCGGGGGCCGGGATAGTCATAGAGTTGCCCGACGGAGTCGTCCATGAAATCTCCCTGAGATTCAAGGAAATCAAGACCAACAACGTCGCAGAATACGAGGCACTCATCAACGGGCTCAAGGTACTCTCCAATCTGGGTGCGACTGACGTACACATCTTCTCTGATTCCCTCCTAATGGTGAGACAAGTGCATGAGGCGTTCGAAATCAAAGACGAAATGCTAGCCATCCTGGCTAACAAAGCCCGAAGTGCCTTGGCACAGTTGAGCTCCTGGAAGCTTGAGCATGTTTGACGGGACGGGAACCAGCATGCGGACGCACTGTCCAAACTGGCAACCGCTATGGACTTCGAGGGGAACCGCCATGTCACCGTGACCAAAGAAAGCGACCTTCCCTGTGAAGTCATGACCATAGGGGACGCCTCCGACTGGAGAACGCCATTGTTCCAATATCTGGAACATGACATCACCCCGCAGAACCCAGCTGAACGGAAGGCGCTCAAGCGAAAAGCCGTAAGGTACACCATCACAGAGGGACAACTTTGCAAAAGGTCGTTCTCTGGAGCGTACCTGAAATGTCTCGGTACAGAAGAGGCCAAGTGGACGCTCAAGGCAATACACGAGGGGACTTGCGCAACACATGCGGGTCCCCGGTCGCTCGAGAGAAAAATCCTCCTGCAAGGGTACTACTGGCCAACGATCAAGAAGGACGCCTCAGACGTCGTTCAGAAGTGCCACGCGTGTCAAGTCCACGCTTCCAAGCACCACTTGCCGAGTTCAGAGCTACAAAGTATAGTGGGGCCATGGCCGTTCGCCAGATGGGGTATTGACCTCTTGGGACCTTTTCCCACGGCCCCACTAGGCAAGAAATATTTGGTGGTAGTGGTGGACTACTTCACCAAGTGGATAGAAGCGGAGCCACTAGAAACGATCACGAGTGCCCGGGTACAGAAATTCGTGTTCAACAACATCATGATCCGCTTTGGCATTCCTCAGTCAATCATCACCGACCACGGTACGCAATTCGATTGTAGGCCGTTTGAAAACTTCTGTGCCAGAAACCGCATTACGTGCACAATGGCCTCTGTGGCATACCCACAGACCAACGGTCAGGCAGAGGCGTCCAACAAGCTGATCCTCCAAGGACTGAAGAAACGCCTGAAGGACGCCAAAGGGGCATGGACAAGCGAACTCCCACATATCCTATGGGCGCATCGCACAACCTACAAAACCGCTACGGGTGAAACTCCATTTGCCCTGACATATGGTTCTGAAGCGGTTGCGCCCGAAGAGCTGAATCTTCCATCTCTCCGCGTTCAAGCATACGATCTAGAGATCAACCACCGAAAGCTCCTAGAGCATCTGGACATGATAGAGTCTCGACGAGATGCGGCTCTGAAGCGCCTCCTGGACGAAAAGGTGAAAGTGGCCGCCTCTTACAACAAGAGAGTGAGACCACGACCCCTCGAGGAGGGAGATATGGTGCTTAAACGAGACTTTCAGAGAAAGGATGAGCACGGAAAGCTCGCTGCCACATGGGAAGGCCCATTCCTCGTTGGCGAAAAGACAGGTCCCAACACCTTCAGGCTCGCAACTATGGAAGGCGACCCAGTCTCCAAGACCTGGAACGGGATGCATCTGCGAAAGTACCACTCGAATGCGGTCTAGGACCTTTCACATTGCTGCATAGCTATTTTTGTGGTACGGGAAATCTCCCGCCACCTGTAATCGTGTAGTGGTCGCCTCCCGGTGACCTCTTTTGCTTAGAATTTTCTTAGTGGTCAAGGAATACTCCTTCCACTCGTAACAGTGTATTGGTCGCTACGAAGCGACCGCTTTTGCTCAGTGTAATACACTTATGTTTTCTCTCGGCCAACTACCAGCATTTAGCTCGAATCTCTTTCACCAAATCAAAATCAAAATACAAACGGGGAGCCTACATGCCTTGTACCCTCCAAATAAGCGCACCGCCGCCAAGACAAGACATTGCCACAAACTCCTTGCGTAACCGGCGATGAAATGGAGGAACGGAAGACAGCAAGACTAAGACATAAGATAAAAGCGTTTTCCCTAAAAGCGATGCGTCCGCCAGAACAGAGTTGCATCCAACGATACAAGTCTGAGGTCCAAAGCCTTCACAAAACAAACAAAGCAAATGCCGAGAAAAGAAAGGTGGACATAGTTCGCATTCAAATGGACCATCTAACGGTCAAAGAACGAACAGCAACTTCAAACACTAGGTGACCGCTCACTACCAGGGTCGCCTCCCTCGGCATCACCCGCTTCCTTATCCTCTTCACCCTCCTCTTCGTTAGCCTCAGAGTTGACATCGGCATCAGTCCAGCAGCCAATTGCGTCCCAAACTCTGTCTGTGTCCCAAACCGCCTCCGGTTGGTCGTCGCGGAATAAGTGACGAATCGCGGCCACTACATCACCCACGATTTTCTTATACTTCTCTCGATCGAGTGCTTGAAACTCGGGAGATTGTAAGTAAGCCGGTCCCGCTTCAGCCCGAGCGGCAGCCAAGTCGGTCTCACGGTCTTGCTCCAGGGCGGTTTTTTCTTGCTTAAGCGCGTCGATCCTTTTCTGAAGAGACTCCTGTTCCTCCAGCAGGGTCTTCTCGATCTCTTCGGCTCGAAGAAGTTTCCGCTGAAGACGATCCCGCTCCTCCTCAGCCGCCCTACGCATCTCCTTCTCCGATGACAACTCTTGCTCCTTCTTAGTCAGCCGCTCATGGAAAGACCGCTCTATGTCTGCTCGCACTTCTGCTATCAATGCCGAGCGCCCCTCAGCCGCACTCTTCTTCAACTTGGCAATCTCGACCGCATTCTGATCAACGGTTTTGGACAAGCGATCGTTCAACATTATGAGTTGCGAGAACCCAATCTGTGCCTGCAAAGGAAACGCTATCACGATAGAATCACAACTCAAAAGCAATAAGAGTTCACAAATACGCGCAACTCACCGAGAAGAAAAATTGCGATGCCACCCCAGCAAGCCGCCTGTTGCTCCCCCGGGAAGTGGCGGTATACTCCGAAGGCATAACCAGCAGATCACTCACAGTGTGTAAAGCCAACTCGGCGGCCTCAGTATCAGTGGCCGCCAAAGGAGGAATCTCCACGGAGCGAGGCGGCTCAGATTGCCGAACTCCCTTACCCCTCGGTTCCCCTGTCTTGGCGTGTTTCGCGGGTACCTGAGGAGGGCCCGCCTCGAGCGGCCTCTTACCCGCGCCCCGCGTCACCACCGTGGGCGCAGCAGTCACCGCAACAGTAGGAGGTGCGGTCACTGACGACGTCTTCCCTACGGCGGCTGTGGCGGAAGCTTCGACTCCGACCTTCGCGGATGTCCCCACCCGCTTCTTCGACTTTGGGCGGTTAGCATTTGCAAGCTCCCTCAAACCTGCAAAAAAGAAAGATAAGTAAAGGTTCATGAGAAGGAGAAGCGTCCAATACTATAGCACACATATACTAACCATAAAAACTGCGAACATGTTGATAAGCGCTCTCAGAACCGCTGTGTAGCACCCGAAGTTGAAAACCATCCACAATGCGGGCCACATGATCCTTCACGGATTGAGGAAACTGACCAGAGGCGCACCAAGTCTCTTTGGAACCGACCGCATAACCGGTGGGCGGCTCCAGATCTCCCGAATACCACTTCGCCGACGGGCGCGCAAAAAAGTACTCCTTGTACCAAGGAGAATCCAATTTGGGCGCCCCAGAAACAAACCCGACGGTACCGTCCCGCCTCCCGATAGAGAAACAGTTGGTCGAGTCGCGGATTTTGTAGAGCAGACGGAAGGCCTCGAAATTCGGCTCCTCTTCAAGGCGGTCACACGCCCAACGGTACATCACCGAATGAAAGATGATTGTTGGAGACAACCGCCCCAGAGTGCACCCCAACCAATGTAAGGTCTTGGTCAGAATAGGATCCAATGGAAACCGCAATCCGAGCTTCACCTGCTCAACGTGGATAGGAATCCATCCGGCGGGGCAAGACCCAGAGCGGCTCACCTCCGAAGGGACCGCATACTGCCACTCCGAGGGTAGGTTCAACGACTTTAAGCGGTAAAGAACCTGCCCTGGCCTAAATCCCGCCGCATGGTCGGGTCCCCACTCCAAAACCTCAGGTGGAACAGGCTGACCGCCCCACATTCCCTCGTGTCGCAAAACCACATACACGGGATCCCTGATAGCACGCGGGAGGGCCACCCCGCCTTCTGGTTCCAACACCTCCAAAGATGAGGACGTACTAGGGTGCGCCTCTGAACGCACCCCATCGCTATCAACCGCCTCATCTTCCTCCACTGAAACGCTATCTAAATCTACCCTACCATACTCCCCCATGTTATCCCCAACCGCAGAAGAAGTAGTCATACCCCCAGCTGGTACAGGGCGGATGTTAGCAAAAGAATTATCTAAATCTACAGATAGGCTGACAAAACAGTCACGCAATTCAGAACCACTCCCAACGTATAATTCTAGCTCGGATAGATCCCACACGCACTCAGAGGCGGTTCGGGTGGGAGAGGAACAGGTCGTACCTTGCATACCAGATGCGGTTCCGGCGGAAGCTCCCGCGGTTTTTCTCGCGGCAAAAGGCGCCGCGGTCTGAGCAGGAACCACCTCGACTCTCTTCACAGCCGGAGACGACGGCGGCGGCGCCGTTGAGATAGCCGGGCCCGTTTCCGAGACGGGGACGCTCGAGCGGCCGATGGACGGCGGCACAGCCCCGTCGGCGGCGGCTTCGCCCTCCATCACGGCGGACAACGTCCTCTCCTCACTTGACATCTCTCTGCGGCGGCGGAATCACGAACGCCGTTCCTAAACACACGACCCAGACGAAGCCGCACCGCCGCGCAATCAAATCAAAACAAAAAGAAGCACGAAGGATAGGAAAAGGAAGCAAAGCGAACTTAGAAAACGGAGGAGCTAAAGCGCTTACCCGGCAGTGTCCGCGACGATATATATAGGAACTCGGCGGCGCAATTCCAGAGCTTCCCACAAAGAAGGAAGAAAGAAGACGAGCCCTTTTCCAAAACAAGAGGGAGAAATGGCGGAAAAGTTCTCCCCAACACATCTACTTAAAGAAAGGTGAGGTCATCCGCCAGAGGTGACGCTTCGCCTGACCCTGTCCGAGCGCGGCAGTCGAGGCGCGCCACGTGGCAGTCACTTTTCCCGGAATTCAAATGCGGGATTGGTAGTAAAATGCCCCTCAGGCTATCCCGCTCTAGGCCCTCACGGCCAGGGGCAAAGTGGACAGTCATGGGCAAAGCGGTCCTTAACCGCCTCATGATGGCAAAAGATAATTAGCCGCGACAGCCTAAAGCCCCTCACGCCTAAGGGGCAAATGTTGGGCCAATAATGAGGATTTACAGGCCCCTAGCCCATGACTCACTAAAAGCCCATTAAACAACTAGGTCCGACCCAAAGGGGCACGGAAGGCGGTCGTCCTTGAGGCGTCCAAGACCTGAAGACCGCCCGACACTTCCTCAACGGAACCTCAGGGAACCGCCCGACAAGAGTTCCTCTGAACACTCGGTACGGAGACTGGCAGGAGTACGAACTGACAGTCTCAGAGGGCCAGAGCTCAGGCGCCCAAGACCGCCTGACAAAGAATTAAATGCTCTCACCTCAGCCCTCGCGGATATAAATACCCATCTCGGATCACATTTATGGTAACTCCTATCTACTACATTCTCTCTCTTATTTACTCGATATTCACTTCTCTCTCTAACTTTGGCATCGGAGGAGGTCCCAGGTCACCCCTGAGGACCTTTCTTGCAGGACTTCGAGGACCGCCTCTCATCTAAGAAGGACCGCCCGAAGTCAGCGCAGCCCTACAACAACCGCCTGGTACGAATCAGGCATAAACAGTTATGTACTATCAGAACAGAAGCGTGGCAATCGATAATCCAAACCAACACGAACGAACACAAATTTAACGTGGTTCACTAACACAATGTGTGCTAGCTAGTCCATGGGCAGGGGGGAACAAATTTCACTAATTTGAGGAGAGTACATGTTACAAACCAAATTCCAAACGAACAAACCAAACAAACTAACCTGACTGACCTTACTACAGACTAGGGTGATGAAGAGTATTTATAGAAATCTTCTCCTAATCCCAAACAGAAAACCAAACACCTTTTCCCAAACATACAAGGAAAAGGTCAAACAAAGCCCAAACACAAACCCAAACAAAATAGGCCCAAAACACAAAACAAACCCAGATCAAATTCAAGTCATATTCTAACAATCTCCACCTTGACTTGAATTCTCTCTCAAATACCAAATGTACCATATGCAACCAAAGTCGCCAGATGTACCCAACTCCTCCAAATCAGTTGTACCAGAATCTCCCCTGCCTCCAAATGCCCCCTAGGACGGTCAACAACTCAAACCATTCGGCAAGTCCAATCCATATTGAGACTTGCCATTCAGAACCAACTTTCTGCACTTATCACCAACAAAACATGTCAAAACAAAACCTTGTAGACTATAAAAGGCACCGCGCTTGACACCTTTCAAAATCACCTTAGAACCCTTGTAGACAGACAACACTACACCTTCACCTTTGAAGCTGAAACCCTTGTTGTCAAGTAGACTCAAAGAATATTAGATTCTTAGTCATTTCTGGAATATGCGTAACATTGTTCAAGGTGCAAACAAAACCATCATGTGTCCTCATCCTGACGGAGCCTCTTCCAACAATCTTACAGATAGCACCATTGGCCATAGAAACATGTCTTTCATCTATCTGCTCATAAGTTGAAAAACACTCCATGCTTGGACACATATAATAATCAGCTGCAATATCTAAATACCACACATCCTGATGTTGTACATGTTCATTCACTGCTAAGGCTAAACCATCTTCAGAATCAGAGTTAGTTTCTTCCGCCACAGCAGCAGATGATTCCTTCTTCTCCTGATATTTCTTCAGTTTAGGACAATCAAATTTCCAATGTCCTTTCTCCTTGCAGTAATGACATGTTGATGTGACTTGAATCGGACTATCACCCGCTACGACTGGTACAAGAGATTTGACAGTTACATGCTTGAGCTGGGCTACAACAGAAGTCCATATGATTGTTGTGTGTATCACAACAAGGTGGAGGATGGTTCGATGTTCTATCTTGTTTTGTATGTGGATGATATGCTCATAGCTGCGAGGTCAAAGTCTGATATCCAGAAGTTAAAGGGACTTCTCAGTGCTGAGTTTGAGATGAAGGATTTGGGAGCTGCTCAGAAGATCTTGGGTATGGAGATTTACAGGGACAGGTCGAAGAAGAAGCTTTTCTTGTCACAGAAGAGCTACATCCAGAAGATACTGTCGAGGTTTGGCATGTCTTCAGCAAAGCCCTTATATACTCCTAGTGCTTCAAATGTTCATATATCATCAGCTTATGCACCGCAGTCAGAGGCTGAGAAGGAGTACATGTCGAGAGCCCCATATGCAAGTGCAGTAGGTAGCTTGATGTACGCTATGGTATGCACTAGACCTGATCTTGCACATGCTGTTAGTGTTGTCAGCAGGTTTATGATACAACCTGGGAAGGAGCATTGGCAGGCTGTGAAGAGGATCTTTCGGTACCTTAAGGGTACACCTGATGTGGGGATTAGCTTCGGAAGTGATACAGAGTGCTTGGTGTCTGGGTATTCTGACTCAGACTATGCTGGAGATGTTGACACGAGAAGATTGATGACCGGTTATGTATTCACTCTTGGGAGTTCTGTAGTGAGCTGGAAGGCAATTTTGCAGTCGGCGGTGACATTGTCCACTACTGAGGCAGAGTATATGGCATTAACAGAAGCTGCTAAGGAGGGAATATGGTTGAAGGGACTGGTTGGTGATCTTGGTCTACATCATTATCAGGCAGTGGTGTATTGCGACAATTTGAGTGCAATATGCTTGGCCAAGGATCAAGTCCACCATGAGAGGACTAAGCACATCGATGTGAGGTATCATTTCTTGAGGACAGAGAAGAGGATTAAGGTGAAGAAGGTTGGCACCGAGGATAATCCTGCTGATATGTTCACGAATCCGGTTCCACATGGCAAGTTCCAACACTGCTTGGACTTGCTGAATGTCTTGAGTGGGTGACTCCGCCCTGCGGGGCATTGATGGCGGGAGAGAGATAGAAGGAGCAGAGTACATCAGAGATTTCAGAGGAAGAGGATTCAAGTCAAGGTGGAGATTTGTTGATGTGACTTGAATCGGACTATCAGCCGCTACGACTGGTAATCGGGGGTCTCGCTGTTATTTGGGTTCGGGTTCTGGGCCTGGTCTGTAACCGTTTCCTTTGCCAGATTGGATTAGGTTTAGACCAACTTGGAGAAGTACTATAAATACTTCTCATACTCCTCTGCAATCTGTAATCTCCTCGATATAGTGAAACTGGCTCTCTCTCGCCCGTGGACGTAGCTAACACACATCATGTTAGTGAACCACGTAAATCGTGTGTCGTGTTTTTGATTCTTGCTTTCGTAATCTTACTTTGTCGATTCTGGCGATTTCCCGATCCGTAGCAGAGCGTTTATAACATGACAAATATCATCCTTCAAACCAGCAGAATTCGAATTTGTATTCGCCTTCCTATTACCAGATTGTTGTCTCCTACTACTAGTAGCAGCCAACCCAGATGCCTGATTTTCCGAACCTGAACCAGATGCCTTATGTCGAACCTCTCTAGTATGTAGAGCAGATCTGAAATCTTCCAAAGACAAACTATCTTTCCCAGCAATAAAAGAATCCAAAAAATTCTCATATGACTGTGGCAAAGATACTAACAGAATTAAGGCAGCATCCTCATCATCTATTTTAACATCAATATTCCGCAGATCTAGCA